AATTCATATGTTCTTTGTAACAAGAATGATAAAAGAACCTTACTTTTTGGAGGTTTTTGGACTGTACCTTTTTGACCCGTTAGTCTACGTAGCTGAAAAACAATACCGACCTTTCTTATATGCTTAAGAACATGCGTACCAATGTTCAAAGTGATCCGACGGTTCTAAACAAAGTTATCATGCACACGGATAGGCAGACAGACCAACAGACAATACGAAATTATAAATTAAAAATTATATATCTCGAGGATCGTTAATAAACAGCAAAGGTGTAAAATTATGGTACATGAACAAATTGACTTAGCCCTTAAGATAAAGATCTAGCAGCGACCGGGCGGACGGACGTCTAGTAACACAACGTGGAGTATTTAGGAGAGAACAAATCATAAAAAATCTAATTAGAATTATTACTTTAAGGGGTTTGTGTCCAAGTATAACAATGGAATTCGGAATAAACAAAAATAAATACGGTTATATCGTTATTACCTCTACGGTGGTAATGATTATACAAGGTGTTAATTAATTGAGTGCCGATAATACAGGCTGTCAATCCTCGGGTGATTTTAAGGAGGAACTAAACTTAATAAATAAAATGGTCAGTTCAAACCCCGTTCGAACGTCACTGGTGAAAATTTAAAAAAATATTTTACGTCAAAAAATGCTCCTTATTGATGAAAAGGTGTATACAAAATTTCATAAAAATATGTAAGAGTGATTTTTCTTAAAATTTTAACACCCCGTAGCTCAAAAACTAACAGGTTTAGGCCGTTTAGGGCATCTGCTGATATAAGTTTTCTCCTTAAAATCACCCGAGGATGCACACCCTGTATTATCGGCACTCAATTAATTGACACCCTGTATAAGATAGTTTTCATGCCTAGAGTTTGAGGAATTATTTATAGGGGTTTAACTGCGCATAAAGAGACGAATTGGGGAGTAGCCGAGGGCGTACAATGATCATTTCTTTTCTGACAGTTATGGTAATCTTATACTTATTTCAATCAATGTTACTTAATTAATTTATATACAGGTCGGTTTATTGCGGAAACTATAGCGAGGATATCAAAGATGATTAAGACAATCTTCTTCATATAGAGGGGCCCATTTAATGATCGTATTCACATTTTCACATAACTGTCCCTTAACAGTCAAGTGTAGGGCTACTTATTTTTTTAACTAGAAACCTACTTTGTATTGAATATTCTTATTCTATACATCGGAAAATAATAAATGTTTTTACCTAGACTTAACATTTTTCCAAACACTCTTCTAAAAGCGCTATTTTTGGATCGAGCTAGGAAGCTGTTCTGTCAAGAATTTGGCCCATTTTTTTCATTTTAATGGTCTTTCATACATCTACAATTAGGTGTCATCACTAAACAACCAGAGAGAAATAAATTGGGTGAGAAGGGAATTTAGATAAGCGGCATGACCTCGGGTTGTCCCTGCGGGATCAATAGGCTGTTACACTTACGCGTGCCATGCAGGTCAACTGTGCAAAGTTTGAACCGCATCGGTCCAAGGTCGGTCCAAGCGTTTGCCAGTTATCGGGTCCACAGGCGGACAATCAGACATTATTGACTCCCTTATAAAACTTGCATCTCTTTGCCATGTCGCTTAATAAATTAATTTAGGATTTATTTGGATTTCAATGAATGTAAACTCAAAGAACAATTTGGTGAAAATTGCAATTTTTGTCAATTTTATTTTAGTCAATTGTAAGTTGTAAACGGTAGTAAAGTTCGAATACGTAGATACCTAGTTATGACATCGATATTTTTGGTTTATTTTTTTCAGCAAAATTAAATTAACATTATTTACTCCCACATCAATTTCGAATGCTTATTTATTTTTTTTCATTTGATCTCTAAATTAATAACATTGTACATTTTTTTTACTTTGGACATTTTGGTCTCACAAGCAATTGGTAAAAGTCAGCAAATATTTCAGATTAATATATCCGGAAATAGCTACATAAAAATTACTATCGCCAATCGAAGAAAAATATTCCTCGATTACTACTCGTAAATTGAAAGAGTACACAGTAGGTCACTTTTCCCAAACTATGGGCGATTCGCCATTGTCTAAGACATGAATAAGAAAAATGGAAAAAAAACACATGCTTCCCAGGGAAATAATTTTAATAAAAGACCCTGAAGGTGTAGGTATTTAAGTAATAAAAAATACATTTAAATTATGTTTCTTATATTAACAGTTTTCTGTTTTTCATTTATCTTGGTAACAATACTTTATAATAGCTTCCCAGCTCGAGCTAGGTGGCTATTGCGATCACCAGTTTTTGGACATGTTAATATTTCATCAAATGTCGAAGTTTTAGACCATTTTAAGCAACTTTTAAAGAATAACATATTTTCCGTCTGTATGTATGTATGTACGTCCGTACGTTGGCAATTATCCGAGGTAATGGCTCGACCGATTGTGTTCATATTTTAGTATAGAACAGGGCTGTGCAACTTCAAGTGGCCTGAGGACCACTTTAAAAAAAATACCACTTGGAGGACCACATTATAACATCTTTGTATGAAACTCTTATCAGTGATATTCTAGCGGCCGGAAAAAAATATTTTTCTTCAAACGTCATATAATATTGACATTACGTAGCCCAGCACTCTGAGTTAAAGTTTGACTTTTTAGAACAATCGAACAAGCGGCAGTGAAGTATTTTAGTGCCTAGGCATTAAAACGCTTCAGTGCCAGTGTCACATTGTTTTGCTTTGACAATTTGATGTTATTTACATTAGGTTCTTCGTTCACCTAGCAAGTGCGTTGATCTTTCCTTCTAATTTTAACAGAAATAAAAATATAGTCGATCAAAGAAGCTATTTATTTATTTAAATAATTGTTAATGTTGAAAGTGCAGTTAGTCATATTACCATTATTGAAATTAAACCCTGAGCTCGTTCCTGCAGCATCCAAGTTTTGAAGAATCAAGTTTTGTTTAGCTCATCTTATTTCTAATGAATGAATGAAGTTTTTCAAAAACTGGATTGGTTTCTACTTCAAATGGAGGAGTAATTGAAGTCATTCCATCTGATAAACCTGGATTTTCTAAAGTTGTCGAATAGTATATTATATACCGCGGGACTGAAGTAGCACTTTTAATCCCGAAGGTAAAGTTTATGGCCCGACCGCAGGGAGGGCCATAATTTACCTGAGGGATTAAGACTACTACTTCAGTCGCAAGGTATATACGATATTTTTCGTACTTCCGAAACTGAAACACTTAATATGTATGGAGTTAGAGAAAACGTTCTTTCAAAAAATCGCTGCTTAACAAGTTACCATAGGAACGTTGCATTGGTACGACAAACCCTATCCTATGCTATGGTAACAAAAATAATTTGGAAACTGTCATTGCTAGTGTCATAATTTTGGACGTGGGTGACAAAGGTGTACTTCATTTTGATAAAAGAACAGCCGAAGTAGATGAAGAATTGATACCACCGAAATCCAAAAAACTATAACTCTCGCCAGGAAAGATTGCCGGTCACAGCACACCTTGTGTCGATGTACAATCTTTGTTTTTATTAAGATGCGAGCGACTTCTGGAATAGGATCGTGCTAATGTTGAACAAAAAGTCTTTTCGTTCAACATTGACACGATACTATCCCGGAAATCGCTAGCACCTTACGAAAAACAGAGATTGTAGATCGGGATCAAGTGTTCTGTGACCGGCAATCTTTCCTGGCGAGAGTTATATATGAGCAGCAGTACGATGCGTTTAAGAAGTAGTACCGCATACAAAATGTGGAACAACCTACTGAAATTGCCTTGTTAATAATTTCATCCTTCCGGGATTTTCGTCCAAATTTAATCCCGGCGGGACAAAAAGTGACACTTCACTCCATTAAGTAGTCTTAATCCCTCAGGTAAATTATGGCCCTCCCTGCGGTCGGGCCATAAACTTTACCTTCGAGATTAAAAGTGCTACTTCAGTCCCGCGGTATATAATATACTATTGTGCAATTTCATTTTTATTTGAAATCGAGTCTTCTATGTAACCTTCAGCCACACAATTGGACTTCTAGCCACCATGTCTCTTTAAACAAAATAAGCCAGAAGCACATGTTCCGAGTAGGTTTTTGCGTTCTTTTGCTTACACCAATCAATAAATTACCTACAAGCTTTGTCGTAGATTTCCTTTGACTTTTAGGAAGTAAATTTTCGACCGCCGCTAAAGCAACTTCCTCCATGTTAGGTGGCGTGCAATATCAATCCATGATCGCTAAAGGAATTACAGAAATTACTAAGGTCGTAATTTTCTAAAAACTGAAAGGATACTTACCTACAAAAAACTCGCCCACAATTAAAACGTCGAAACTACCTAATACCATTGAATAAATAGTGTTTTTATTCAATGCTAATACCTAATGGCTAACTATAGCAATTGTTATAGTCACCACGGCCGACGCGCTCACGGCTACCTATAACGATCGGGTTAATATTTCTTCCGATTTGAAAACCATTATTTGGGCGCTATTCTCACGTTTGAAGAAAAAATAGCATATATTATGCGGAGCTAAAGTAACTTCTTACGGCTCGTCAGTATCAAACACTGGCTCGCCATAAAAAGTAATATTTTAGCTCCTCATAATATAATATACTATTATATCGGACAGCCCCGGTATAGGTAATTCTAGTATACACCCTACGCATACGGAAATGAACAATAACGGACAGGGTTTTTGAAGAAAATTTTGGAACACGTAAATCTTGAAGTTATTTACGAGGCTTTAATTTAAACATTTTGTATAAATCATAGGCCGAATAACAGAAGTATTTGACTGCATTTTTAATGCAATAGGAAATATTTTCGTGCGGAATTTGAATTATTAGAAATTGAACTTTTATTTACATCATTTAACGTGTTTTTTGGGATCTCGCCTATCTCGAGGTGTTCACAAGAACCACAGTCAAATGAATAGTGTATAGGTAATGATAAGTACTTTATTTAAACAACGGTACGAGTACTAAAGCATATTAGCCCGACAATTTTTTGTGGGACGATGGGGATGGGGTCTAAGTGAATGAGGACTGAACGCACTCGATGACTCGAATATACAATTTGCTGTTTGCTATAAATAGTTTATATTACTCATCTTATGTCTAATACGGTTGATTGTCTATTTGCATTGTTTCTTTATATTGGTCTTGCTTCGATAATAATGATATTGTTATCTCAGGATAAAGTTACGTTGCTGGGTGCATCCAATCTGAGGCGGTACGGCAACAAAGTCCTACTACAACGCAACTGTCGGATGAAGGTGTTAAACCAAAAAAATGTTAAAATTTACGTACAACTGGCCATCGGCGGCCAGACAATTGCCCAGCTGCAGAAACGGGGGCAGCGATGCAAATCGCCTAATTTTAGTTACAAATTGGCCAAGGAAGTGGTTCTAATGATTGGAACAAATGATATTCTTAGGGTAAGTGCACATAGAAAGGAAAAAAAATCCTTCTACATTACATTGTTTTAGAATACGAAATACCATATAATGAGGACGGGCCTCTTGCGTATATTGACATCTTTAAAAAGTCAAGAGGTCCGGAAAGTATACTTGTGCACGTTGGCGCCCATTTTAGGCGCCACAGAAACCCAACGCGCGGCGTTGGATCAGTACAATAATTTTATTAGGGGTTACACAGATAGTAAGTAGTCTCATAATAGTGTTTTAAATAATTTAATAATTCAATTTACAGGACGCGTCCAAGTTTGTGATATAAATGCAGCCCTTGGTGGAAGAAGGGAATGTTTTGAGACGTAAGTATATTTCATTTATTTGTTTCGCAATCACCATAGATTTTTTTATTATAGAGACGGCATACACCTCAACGACTACGGGATACAAGTAGTTCACAGTGTCTTGCCCGGTGAATTATTGTTATAGATTGTTTTTTTAGGCTAGTAGTTTGGTGATGGGTTAGGTTAAGTCATTCGTTAAGTAGTTTTTAGTTTGGTGATGGGTTAGGTTAAGTCATTGGTAGGTTTAAGTAGTTCCTAGTTTGGTGATGGTTAGGTAAGTCAGTAGATAGAGGGTCACTTGTGCCAGACAGTCACGTGACGCGCCAGACAGTGAGGTTATCGCGCACGTGCGCTTTAGGTATCTACGACGTCTTGTTGTCTGACCTTCGGCCAGTTCGAGTGAAGGCATCATGGAGAGAAGGTATTTTGCTAGTTGGCCAAGGGTGCGAATCATATTTTGGGGGTTGTTTCGGGTGCTTAGAGCAGACACTCTGCACTCAGATTTCCGATATTGGAACGCTGTCTCGTTATACCCGGTTTACATGTTTCATGTTAATCGCCTCCATAGTTCATGTATTTTGGCAAGTAGGCTAGGTATCTCTTACGGTGTCAGCGCGGAAATTTAAGGGGGTTTTTGCCAGAGCGCGTCGAAATTTGAAGTTGATCCTATTATGGAAATCACCTGCAGAGGAATGCATTTATTTATAGAATATAAAAATTACCTAACATTGCATCATCTTCGAGTGACAGCTGTAATAAAATTGCATTTATCCTACTACGTCAGTCAGTATCCGCTTGAAGGTTAGTGGAGGTGGTTCTTCTGTTTCTTTGTTAACGTCTCCGTACGAGTATCGAAAAATTACAGATTAGAAGGTGTGCTTTGTCTTCCATCAATTGCCTAACCAATTTTCATTGAAATTTAAAGTCTTGTCGAAGTAGTATCGACTTTAATCCAATCACGTGATTATTCGGTTTCTATAAAAGCTCAACGTTTTCACAATTCCAGACAGTTTCATACCAAGCTCAAGTGAGTGACGGATGTTACTTTTACACCTCCCAGCTGCATAAGTGCATTTAGTCGACGATAAAGTGTAGTAACAAATTTATAATTGGGTTACTCTTACTACCCTGAACGGCTGTAATTAAAAATTCAATCAAATCAATTACTATTACGAAAAATTGAACAATCGAGTTAATTATTGCGTCAGTTTTTACAATCTGAAACGTCGCATTCCCTTTAGTACGCAAGTGCAGCTTAACTGCAAGGTGTTGCTGTGTTTTGTTTCAGCTATCCACGTTCTATTACAAATTATTCTTCGGATCACACGGCTTATACGCCCTACCTCTACTTAATTCTTAGTGTGTAAAGAATTACTAAAAAAATCAATTTCTCACAGTAGCTTATTGCACCTGGAAGTGTTTATGACTAATTAATCAAATCTCTTATCATTAAGCAAAATTGCACAACGTGTAAAATTATATTGCATCACTTTTTTACAACTCTGGGAAACTTCGCATTCCGTTTTAGATTTAGTACGCATCTACAGCTCAAGGAGCCTGGTTTTGTTAAAAACTGAGATTGTTTGTACCATTAAAAGTATTTGGTAGATCACGGGCATATGCATCCTGGTTAATCGTAGTGCGTGTGGAATTATTCAAAAATAAGAAACCTATATCTCGAATAAGCCATACACGTTTTACTTATAAATTACACGAAATTATTCGGCAGTGCCTACGAACACGTGATTTTTCAGTATAAAATCCAACTTGTCAACATTTTTATTCAGTAGTCGATTGAATCCCGCGTGTGACTGACTGACTTGACGATATAATCGGCATTTTTTACAATACTGATTGATAAACTTACTCATCAAGGAATAATATATCTTTCCCAGAACGAAATACATCTTCACCCATCAAGCGATACCTTAGTTGTTTCTATTCTTCCGTGTTAAAATTATTTTGGCGTAAGGTACCTAGTATCGGTGAAAAACAAGATCACTTAGGTACACACTCTACAAGAAATACTCCTCTGCTACATTACTTCCAAAAATAATCTAATTATGCGCAAGTTTGTAATTGAGAGTGAGTTTGAAAAGAACGTCAAACGATTTGGTTTAAAAGGACGATCTATTCAGTTTAGGTTAAAACAAATACCACCTAACGAAAATAGCATATTATGGATTAAGAACGCGATCAGGCAAATAATCACGTATGCATGTAATAAGGTTTCGGCTGAAGACATGGTAGGATTTACTTTTTGTTCTAAAAAATTTTCGCGAGGAGGGGGTTATTTGAAGTTCCAACGCGCTGATTCAGTATATTTTGAAGACATATGGGAGCTAATTTCGTCTATATATCAATCAAATTCGGACGGATTGAGCACAGAAACTTTTTGTTTGGAGGCGACCATTGTCCGTACCCCATTAGGCAGGGGGAGATCAGCTTGTAGCAAATACATAGGTTTCGAGGAGGAGTGTAAAGCAAGGCGAGGTATTGTTTACATAAAAAATGTAGATAATTTATGTTTACCTCGAGCTCTTGTTGTTGCTATAGCCAATACAACTGATGATCCTGATTATCAAAATATACGAAAGGATATAGCACAAATTCAATATAAGAAAGCAAAACAATTAATGCAAGAAGCCGACATTGAGATTGGAAGAAACGGGGCGGGTTTACCCGAATTAGAAAAGTTTCAGTCGCATCTAAATAATTTTAAAATTGTTGTTTACAACTATGGGTCCAAAGGGCGCGATCTTATTTTCGAGGGTGATTCTGAGGCAACGCTAAAAATTAATTTGTTGTACTATAATAATCATTACAATGTAATAACCTCACTAACGGCTGCTTTTGCGTGCGTGTATTTTTGCGACAAGTGTCACGTGGGCTATAACAATAAATTCGATCACAAGTGTGTTGGTGTTTGTTCATCGTGCAAACATTCTCCTCCATGCGATCGTGGTCAGGCAATAAATTGCCCAGACTGTTGCAGATATTTTGTCTCTAAAACATGTTTTGATAAACACAAAGAATTAGGGCATAAAGAGCATAAAACAATTTGCGAAAAAATATTTAAGTGTAAAACCTGTTACAAAACAGTTCGAAAAGGGACGGACCACAAATGTAACTCATATTACTGTAAAACATGCAAGAAAAGTCGGCCAGATGATCATCTTTGTTATATGCCTGTAGATAATTCATCACCTAATTTAAAAGATTTTTTATTCATTTTCTATGACCTTGAATGTACGCAAGACAAAAAATTTAGCGAGTTGAAAACTTTACACGAGCCAAATTTGTGCGTTTTTAACCAAAGGTGCGAGATGTGTCTAAATGATCCCTTGGAAAAGATTATCTTCAATAACTGTGCCGTTCGACGGCAGATCCTAAAATTTTCCGATGTTATTGAAAGATTTGTTCATTACATTCTAGAGATAAAAAAAAGATTCAAACGCGTAATCGTTTTGGCTCATAATGGGCAAGCGTATGATCATCAATTTATTTTAAATTACATTTTAACCAAAACTAAATTTAAACCTGAGATGATTATGCGGGGATCTAAAATTATTTCTATGTATATCGATAATGTCACATTTTTGGACTCCTTGAACTATTTTCCAATGGCTCTAGCGAAACTACCCAAAGCGTTTGGATTGAAAGATAATTTTCGAAAAGGCTATTTCCCATACCATTTTAATACGCTTGAAAATCAAAATTATATAGGACCTTATCCCGATATGGGGTACTATGGCCCAAATACAATGATGGCAGACGACCGAGAAAAGTTCATTCTTTGGTATAATGAAAACAAAGACAAAGTGTTTGACATGCAAAAAGAAATTGTGACATACTGCGTATTAGACGTAGATATTTTAACACTGGCCTGTTTAAAGTTTAGAGAATCATTAATTAAAGCGGGGAACGTGTGCCCATTTTCAGAAGCTTGCACTATTGCCAGTTCTTGTAATAAACTGTTTCGTCGAAACTTTTTGAAACCGGATACTATCGGTTTGATTCCTCGACACGGGTATCGTTATCGAGATAAGCAATCAAAAATAGCAATTGAGTGGTTAATATGGGAGGAAAAAGTAAGGGGCATTAACATATTGCACGCAGCTAAAGGGAAAGAAATGGTACTAGGTGGTTTGTCCGTCGATGGGTATTGCGCAGAAACCAATCAAGTCTTCGAAATGATGGGGTGTTTCTACCACGGATGCACAAAATGTTTTAAAAATGATCGTGATAAACCAGTATATAATAACGGCGACGAAACCATGAATCTAAGATATGAAAATACCCGTTCGAAGATCGTTCATTTAAATCAATTAGGTTACGAGGTGATAGTAAAGTGGGAATGCGAATTTAATCAAGAGAAAAACTCGGATATGGCACAGTACATATCTGACCACCCACTGATCAATTTTGCGCCTTTAAATACGAGAGATAGTTTTTATGGGGGCCGAACCGGAAACATCAAGTCTTATTACAAAGCGAAAGAAGGGGAAAAAATAAAATACATTGATATCTGTTCATTGTACCCTTGGGTTTGTAAGTATGGAAAATTTCCGATAGGGCACCCTAAAGTTTTACTCTCGAATGACTTTGATCGATCTAGATGTTACCAAAGTAGACGGCATCATTAAATGTAAGGTATTACCTCCGCAAAATTTATTTCACCCGGTACTTCCGATAAAACTAAATAAAAAATTAATGTTCCCTCTGTGTTTCTCATGCGCAAAGAGCTTCAATCAGGGGGAATGTTGTCACAATACGGAGGAGAGGGCCATTGTGGGAACGTGGGTTGTTGACGAACTTGTTAAAGCTTTAGAAAAGGGGTATCAAGTTCTACAAATCTACGAAGTTTGGGATTATAAAACCGAACAATATGATGGGAAATCAGCGGGATTATTTACAGAAATGATGAATAAATTTATCAAAATTAAACAGGAAGCGAGTGGATGGCCATCAAACTGTAAAACTTTCGAACAGAAAATTGCTTATATTGCTCAATTTTTTGAAAAAGAAGGAATTCATTTGGATTTTGATAGTATTGTAACTAACCCAGGTCTGCGCTCATTGGCAAAACTTATTTTAAATTCATTTTTTGGTAAATTTGGGCAACGGGAAAATCAAGCGAAGACAAAAATTGTTAAGCAGTCGACCGAACTGTATTCGCTATTATTTGATCCAGCAATTGAAGTTGTTGGTATTTTACCAATAAACGATGAAACATTGGTAGTGAATTATAAATACAAAGAGGAATCGTATACTCCTTTAACTACCGTTAACGTTTCAATTGCAGCGTACGTCACAGCACAAGCCCGTTTAAAATTGTACTCATACTTGGATCAATTAGGGGAAAGGGTATTGTATTTTGATACCGATAGTGTTATTTATATTTCACGAGAAGGCGAATATGAGCCCGAAACAGGCGACAGCCTTGGTGACATGACCAACGAACTGGAGTGTTACGGACCAGGAAGCTACATCACCGAGTTTGCGTCGGGTGGTCCAAAAAATTATGGGTTTGTGGTCTACTCTCCTACCCAAGACAAATGTTTTCAATCGTGTAAGGTAAAAGGTATATCAATTAACCATGAAGTATCAAAACTCGTAAACTTCGACACCATGAAAAACATGATAATTAACGAAGAGCCACCTCAGAAGATATTGTATAAGAATTTTGAAAGAACCGCAGAACATCTGGTTTTAACCGTCCAAAGAGAGAAAATATTCCGACCGAATCTATTGAAAAGGCGTTTCATCAGTTACGAGTCGTATCCCTATGGATATAAAAAATTTAAAACGGAAGAAGGTGAAGACAATGACAATCGCGAATCATCATTCGCCGAAGCAACTATGTGTCTCCAAGAACAATGAGAGGAAAAGTTTGTCAAATTAGTGTACCAGTATAGAATTTGTGATACTTACGCATTTTATAATAAACTAGTTAGGTGATACCTACTTTATATAATAATTAGCGAAATTCCGTTGTTTATATTTGATGAACGTTTACAAGACAAATAAAAAATTAAAATGAATATGTTTTCTTTTTAATTACCACATCGGCACCAGTGATCCACCTATCTGTAAAAGAATAAATGGTAAGAAACATCAAGTAGATTTCTATCTATTTACCTATTCTAATGGCACCAGTATATTTATAAATCACTTCCAAGAAACACTTTCGTAATTATGAAGCGATTTCGAACAAACTTTAAGGGTTGGTGTAGCTCTTAAATATCTCGCTCAAGTTTATAAATCAGCCAATTCCGTCATATTGGCACAAAATGGCGGAAAGAAATCTAGCTACACCTGATCGTCCGAGCCGAAGGGGATTTTTGTATTAAAAATCGGGTCTATCCTCTTTATAATTATCTTAATATTACAAACGGCTTTTTAGATAGGATTGTCGCGTTCCATCTTACCATGGATTTGATAGTAAACTTTTATCTTGATTTTAGGTTTAATTGCACCAATTGTTGGTTAGAGGCTGTTCCATGTTTTGAAGGTGTGTTTCGAAAGTCTAGAAAGGCGAGTTAGTGTAGGTAACTGAACTACGCTCCATCGTTTGGCTAAATTAGTGTCATCATCCACTCCTACTATAGGTACTCTTAACTGACACTGTTTTCGGCAATCGAATACTACGCTACCACAGATTGGTTGTTTGACGATAAAAACATTAAAAATCAAGATTTTTATACAGTAATTTCATTCTAGATAGCTTGTTAAATAGAACTCAAAGTAGTTTCAAAGGTACTACCAGACAAAGTTTTTATAATTTTGAAGGGGACGGGATCTCTTAAGACAGGCGAGACTACTCGCATTAGCACACCTTTTTTTCACGAATTAAAGGAATCGTTAAAAACAACGCCCTCGTATCATCTCTATTGCGATGAGATCGAATCTTACAACTTGACAGTTTTTAGTAGTACAGAACACATCCTGATTACCATGCTTCGGAGGGTATGTAAAGGCGGCGGGTCTCGGGGGCAGTGTACCATGACTGTCGTTAGGTCACACAGGCGGTTGTTGATGCGATCTAAAAACTTCTGTACGTCGGAAGTGTCACCATAAATAAATAAATAACTGTGCAATTGGACAGCTTAGTGAAAGTTCGTCAATAAAGTCGCTCAAAAATGACATCAGACATCAATAAAGTAAATTTTAGTTTGAAATAAAAATAAAACCGCAGGTACGTTTTGATGCCATGGTCTGTGCTCGTCATACGGAAGCAGTTCTTCTGATACGACTAGCACTACACGATGGCTCTAATCGGGGGAAGATCAGGAATTGTTTCATAATGCGATATGCGTTCCTCCTTCATTAAATCTTTTTTTCAACATATTTATTGAAATACTTGTCCTTAGAGTATTTTTACCGTGGCTGCTGATTTTAATGGTCGTTTCCAAAGTCTCTCAGCGAATATAATCTGCATAAAAAATAACCCACTTAACGTATAGAAGGTCATTTATCTCGGGCTTAATGCCTTCTCACTCGATTGGTATGATGGTAACTAACTGTAATATTGAAGGTCTCTAACGTGAAGGGGTCGTTCCTTTACTTGACGAATGGTTCAATCATCCCTGTAATAAACGAACCGCTGGTTTACCATGCCCTGTTCATAAGTTAAATCAGTCCATAACAAGTCGGGTTCGATTCCCCATGCAAAACATTCACTGACAAACTGGTTAAAATCTCCTCGCATTGACTCATTTTTACGATTGATTGATTAACCTCTACAACGAGTGTTTGATATTCATGGGCGATACTAAAATTGCCAAATTTTACGACGAAGCAGGTTAAATCAGATTTGGCTATAATAGGTCAACATACGCTCGTATATCACACACCTAAATAGTAACTATATTCTGCGTGTATCGCAAGAGGCGATCCGTCTGATTTAAAGTGAGGTGTTTCTGTTTAAACCCATCTGTGCGAGGAAATAGATCAGTTGTCTTGGAATACTCGACCTTTAAATCCGAACACGCGCGCTTAATTGAATGCGATCCCAGTAACCTGAACACAAATCGAACACGATTGGACCCACAGCCCAAGCCTAATTGCGAACTCCACAAATGCGAATCGTACTCAAACTCGAACCGAACCGGAATAACTTCGATGCGGTTTGAGATCCATCGCGTTCATGGATGCCCGTATGAACGGGGAGGAAAATGATTGACAATGGAAATAGCTCCATTGAATGGGGCCTTCTTTTTTTTTTAGTAAACAGAAGGTTATTCCGCTAGTGGTGACTGAGCGTCACTGATCTGTGTTAATGATTGATTATAGATTTCGAGAGACACAGAAGATCAAACGTATACACTGGTAAACAAATAAAGTAGTATAGAACTGAACAGGTAAACAGATAAACAGGTAAACTAAACAGATCAACAGGTAAACAGATAAACAGGTAAACAGATCAACAGGTAAACAGATAAACAGGTAAACACTATCTGTTTTTAAATAAAGCTGTTGCTGTTATAGCTGTTTACCTGTTTATCTGTTTACCTGTT